AGCCCGGCTGCCCCCCCGGCCGCCGCGGACACGCACCTGCCCGCGCCCCGGGCCGCGCGGGGCTGCGGGGTCTTGCGAGCACGGGCCCGCAGGATGCGGCGCCTGGTACGTGCCGCGCATCCTTTCCCGCAGGCGGGGCCGCCTCGGGGCAGCTCTCGGTACCTCGCTGGGCTGCGGTCCCTCCGCTTCGTTATGGCTGCGTCGGACGGATGCAGGTTGTGCCTTCTGGCTGCCTGTGGCGCCGAGGACTCGTTTGTCCTCTGCTTCCATTTTTTTACTGTGAATGCAAATACACAAAGGATGCTGAACATTCCTTCTAAGCTGGGAACACAGCAGAGTCTGTTTCCTAAAAGTTTAATATGAGCTCTTGTAAGGAAAGAATGAATGAGATGTATTTTTTAAAACATTTGCATTCTGATACTGTCCTATGCATCACTGTGAGCTGGCACGTTTGAGTCCCACTCTCTATCTCTTATTTGGTGGGTCAAATTATGCACTGGTGCACATAACAATGCCTGGTCTAGTGGTCTGGGTGGGCCAACAGAACGATTTGTCCCTTTTCAGGCAGTAATGTGAGGTTTATTGCTTCTGATCTGCCTCAGATTTTGTTTCTAATGATCTGGTTTAGTGCTCTACGTATGAATTTCAATTCCAGACCTGCTGTAAATGCTAGTTTTGCTGGCACTTGACCAGGTTCAGATTGGTACTTGAGTGAGGTAAATACTTGGTGATTCTAAGAGGTTCTCCAGAACCGTTATGATATTGGTGAAGTCTGAGAGTGGTCACCAGGTAATTGCTGAAGGGGTATAAGATACCAGTGCTCTATAAGTAGTTCTGTAGCAATTCTGTAGAGAATGCTCTTAGACATATGGTTTAGCTTTAGGTAGTCCTGCGAGGAGCAAGGAGTTGTAGTCAATGATCCCTGTGGGTCTGTTCTAACTCAGGGTATTCTGTGATTCTAATCAAGTTAATTGGGTTGCAGCCAGTTCCACCCTTGCTCCCATAGTGACCAAAATCTTGAGGAGGAACCTCAGAGAGGAAGGGCTGGAAAGTTTCTGTTGGGATTTCACAGGAGTTGCCTGGTGGAGGTGGGTACCTGGAGCTGTGGATGTGATTGCCTTTTTGACCTGGTCCCTCTCCCGGAACTGTGGCAATGTGGTGGACTGCTGGGGTTCTCTGGTTGCCAGTAGAGCTCCCAGCTGAAGGGTCTAGACTGCCAATGACAGATGCAACAACCTTTCTGACTTGCTCATCTTGGACTGTTATGTTAGTGCCTAAGATAGAGAAACACGGTCCTCACGTTGGAGATGGATTTGACCCAGGTGTTCCTACAGTGTTGGTCCCAAGCCTAACTTCAGGCTCTGTGATAGAGGAAACTGCTTCAGCCCCCCTTCTGATAACCTTGCCCCTGTTACCTTTCAGTGGCTTCTGAGAATCTCTCTGATTCCAGAGGCCATTCCCAGCTAAATAATCTTCTGAATAAGAACTTCTGTATCCTACTTATTGGGAACTGAATATGAGGTACAGCTAAAACACGGTTGTGTGCTAAGGAGGTGATTGGCTATTGTAATTTGTAAATGTATTCTGGGTTCTGCTAGACCTTTTATGTAGCTGGAAAGATGCTGCATTTCTCTGCCATTACAAAGGATATGTGACCTCAAGGTATTCAAGTCAGGAAAATGCTATGGAACATAACTGGCAAAATGATGCCAGAATAATTTTCCATTTTGATTTCTATTCATCCATTTGATAGACAGTTGATACTGTGGTTTAAAACGTGTATAAAAATAGTCCTCTAACTGTAAAAAAAAAGTGTGGTCATAGATTCTACTGTCATAGGACTTGTGTAACTCAGATGTAACTTGAGCAGTTGAAATTCAAGTAGTTTGTTAATTATAACTGGCTTTGTTCCTTCTCCTCACCTCCCTTCTTGTAAACCAAATTATGGTTACTTGCTACTGAGTCATGGTCATTTTTCATTGTGGTCATTATTTGTGCTTTTGATTTGCTTTGTGAAGTTGTGAGGCAGCAAGGTAGTTGGTATTAGATACCTGAATATTGGATCGCTTTCTAGTTGGTCATTCTTTGTCTCTGCTGGGTTCCATCAGATTTCTCTGTAGTCTTTGTGCATGGCACTGCAATGTTCAGGTTACAAGACTGTAAAACAAATGTTTTTGTTTTAAAAGATAATTCTTCTACTTGAATTTACAATGGCACGTTTGCATTATGTGTTTCTAAATCAAGAGCTTGCTCAGATTCCCAGCAGGTAACCTCTTTGAAGTTCCTCTAGAAATACACAGCCATCTCATATATACTATAGTAGTACTCAGAAAGGTTGAACCAGATAATCCTTGAGGCCCCTTCTAACCTTGCATTCTATCATTCTATGATACATCAATATATATATGAAGATCTGATCTTTACCAGATTATAACAAATTTATCTTTCCTTCTCAGAGATGGATTCTTTGCTACCTTTTATTTAGTAATCGTCTACATCTGTGCAGTTCTCTATCATTGGCTCTCAATATCCAGAATCCATGAGGGTTGAAAAATATAATTTTTGTAGTTTTTGTATCTTTAAAGTATGCTTGAATTTCTCTTTTAACATATGAGAACAAGTAATCTTTGCTTCAGGAGGTGGGGCTCCAAATAGGAAATTCAGTGGCAGGGTTTAGCCACACTGAATGCTGTCAAGGTAAATGAGCATAAATACAGCTTCTCTGTAAATGACAGAGAAGCTGAGGATCAGTCTGCAGTTTGGATTCTAAAACACCCAATGAACTTTAAAGGAAAAATAATGACATGCAAGCACTTCCAGGAAAGCAGGCTTTCAGTTCATCTCACTAAAATTTATGGTGCTATGTGTTTTGCTTGTCATGCACTTGGATGACTGGTGAGTATCTGGGAAACTGTCACACGGCCTGGAAGCTGTAGGACCTGTGATTTATCTGGAGGATCACACTGAGACATCACAGCCAGCTCCCTATGGTAAACAGACTGAACCAGCTGTAGTCAGAAGAGAAGCAAAGTGAACTGAGATATATGACCATCCAACAGCATAGTTAAACCAGAAAGAGGCAAATTAATGCAGCAAAGGTTTTAGTACACAGTCAATCTTCTTAGTTAACAGTTTAGCAAGTACCAACAACTAAAGAGTACAAATGAGGGCTGGATAGACCACAATTCCATTGCTAACTTTGGG